ACGGGACAGCAGGACAAGGGAGGGCAGTGGTGGAGGTCGCAAGGACCGGACCCCCGGAGGGGTCAGCCAGGGAGACAGCAACCGGCATAGGGAGCTGCTCGAGGGCAGTGCGGTCGCGAAAGAAACACTGGGAAGCACCTGAGTCCAGTGTGAAGGTGTGCAGTGCCTCAGTAGACGTAGCACCTGAAGGCGCAGACTCACAAGCACCTGAAGCAGCAGACACACCTGCATCTAGAGCAGCAGCCTCACCAGGACCTGGGGCAGCAGACGTACTAGCACCTAGAGTGGCAGCCTCACTGGTCGCAATGCCTGGGTCTGGCGGCACACACAAGTAACAGTCACCCTCAACACTAATAGTCAATGCATACATGGCTCCAAGGATAACATCAAAGTCAAGTGCAAAGACATCAATGTTCTTTTTAAGCAGATCAGCCCAGCGGGGCAGCTCAGAGGCCTCAGTGAACTGTGCACGCCAGGCATCGTCGAGACGGAAGAAGCAGCGCTGCGGCGTGTGGAACCTCCCACACGTCTGACCAGCGCGGTCACCTGTGCGGATGACATACGTGCAGGTACCTCCACCCCCAGACCCCCCATGCTGAGAGTACCACTCACGAAGCTGCTGGGGCGTCTGGGTCTCTCCGAGACGCTGCTGCTGGCGCTGGACACCACTCGAACCTCCACGCTGCGCTGGTCCACCCAAACCACCACCCGAGCCGCCGCCACCACGCCCACTGCCGCCATCCCCACCACCTCCACCTCGGCCTCCTCCACCACCACTGCCGTCACCACCCCCGCCACTGCCTCTGACCCCCCCAGCCCCGCCACCACCCCCACCACCGCCACCACCCCCACCGCCTCCACCACCTCCACCTCCACCTCCACCTCCCCCGCTGGCACCACCACCACCCTTGCCCCCCTTGGCCTTGCCGCTCTTGCGCCTCCAACTAGGAGCAGACGCAGTCCCGACTTCCTCAGCACCAAGGTAGTCGACAGCGGCAGTAGAGGCGACCGAGGGTAGAAGGGGGGGAGGGGAACACCCGTCAAAGAAGGGCGTGCGGGGGTCGCCACGAGAGGCACCTACAGCAACTATGCTAGACTCAGCTGCAAGCAGATGCTTCTCGAGGAGGTCAATGGTGAGCTCGGTGGGGCAGAGGGCGAGAAAGTGGTCCCTGACTGCGCGAAGAGAGTCAGGGAGACGGGTGACTAGGTGGCAGAGAACGAGGTACATCGGGGGAGGGTTCTTGGCGAGGAACTCAGCAGGAAGGGCGGTGCGGTAGCGAGTGTCACTAGTGCGGAGGTGTATAATGAGGTCAGCGACTGTGGGAAAGGCGGCGAGATCGCGGAAGGGATAGGGCAGCGAGAGACGGCCTATCGTAGCAGAAGCAGGTGAGGAGTAGCGGGCGACTACCGCATCGTACAGTGCCTTAGCAGTCTTGTGCTGGCCATAGTGGGCGCGCTCATCTAGCGGCAGGTGACTGCGAATGGCTAGGCGAGCATGGGCGTCACGAGTCTGCCACTGGGAGCGAGCTGTACTATCAGCAGTGTCACCAGGTGCTAGAGCGGTTCCGGACGCGTGGTCATATAGCGAGACATCATCCTTAGCGGTGATCTAGAGGAACAGGTGCAGATCGTCGAGCCAAGCATCAAACTGGAGCGGACGGCCCTCAGCATCGAAAGAGAGAACTGTGGGTGTAGCCATAGTGGCAGCAGTAGCAGTAGGAACAGCAGGAACAGCAGTAGCAGTAGCAGTCGTAACAGCAGAAACAGCAGTAACAGGAGGGCAGCGCGGCTAGGACAGGGCGGCGCGGCTCGGTTCGGGCAGGGCAGCGCGGCGCGGCCCAGCTCGGACTAGGCTACGCGGCGCGGCTCGGACGGGCAGGGCGGCGCGATGGGGGGCCCGTGTGTGGGTCGTGTCGCGTACGGGCCGCGGCTGCGCGTGGGCTGCAGGCGCCCGCGGGCGGCGGCCTACTAAGGCGTGGCGGCGGCCTACTAAGGCGGGCGGGGCTGCAGTGCGCTACGTGGCCAGCAGGGCCGGTCGACGGGCGGCTTACGAGGCTGCTCGTGTGCGGCGCTGGTCGCTCGGGCGGCTAACGGTCGACGCGCGCGCGACTCGGGTCGCACGCGGGTTGCTAGTGGGCTGCGCGCGCTAGAAAAAACGGGCCGCGTGCGGGCGGCTAGCGGGCTGCGCACGGGCAGCGAGAGGAGGAGAGGCGCGTGAGGGCGCACTGGCAGTGAGGCGCACGAGGGCGCTAAAGCGATAAGGCGCTCGAGGGCGCTAGCGGAAAGGCGGGCCCTTAGGACTAAGCGGTCCTAGGTTCCTAACCTAGGCTCGTAATACCATGTTAGAATTGAACAAGAGTGAATGCACTAGGAAAGTGTTGGGTACAAGTAGGAAACCCTAAACTCACTGTACCCCATAGTAACTACCCCAATACAGCCTAAACAAACTGTAGCAGATATAACATTTGACAAGCAAGCGCGTGACGGTAGGACTAGCAGCACGAGCAAGATTAGGCTCTGGGTCCGGTACGTCAGGGAGAGAGGATGCTGGAGGAAACGGCAGGGAAACACGCTGCGGAACATAGGAAGGATGAAGTGCGATAGTGTACGTGCCAGGGACAGATCGAGGACAAGCACGACAAGTACGACCAATAGTGCGAACAGGGGAGGAAGGACGAGACTCAGACTCACGACGCTCTGTCAGGGAGTCTGAGTGTACAGGGTAAGGAGAAGGAGCAGGCAGTGGGGAGCCAGGCTGTAACGGCGGCTGTGTCTGGTCAAGCGGAGGACACTGAAGAAGTGGAGTAAGGCCAATGGAAGACGGAAGACTAAGAACATGGCGAAGTGCCGAACCAGGTGGTGGTAAGGACGACTGCGGCTGCGGCAAGAAAGGCGGATGCCGCTGCGCAATACCCACAGTACCACCACCTCCAGCACCAGCAGCTTTAGTACCTCGAGCACCTCCAGCACCAGCACCTCCAGTACCCCCAGCACCAGCACCTCTAGCACCTCTAGCACCAGCAGCTCCAGCACCACCAGCACCAATACCTCCAGTACTAGCATCTCCAGCACCTCCAGCTCTAGCACCCCTAGCACCAGTACCTCCAGTACCAGCGCCTCCAGCATAAGTACCTCTAGTACGAGCACCTCCATTACTTCCAGTTCCAGCACCAATACCTCCAGTACTAGGGCCTCCAGCACCTCCACCTCCTGTACCTCCAGCTCCAACACCTCCAGCTCCAGCTCCGCTACGAGAGCGGCTTCGCCGAACAACCCACTCGCGAAGCTGCTACAGTGAGGGAGCCTCCTGTCGACGAGACTGCTGCAGCAGTCCACCCCTAGAGCCCCCAGAAGAAGCACCCACGACTCCACCACCACTAGGACGCACAGCACCCCGGGAACCAGCACCCCAAGACTCAGCACCCCCAAAGTCAGCACCCCCGGAGTCCGCACCTCCAGTACCACCACCCCTAGAGTCCGCACTTCCAGTGTCACCACCCTCAGCAGCACCGGACTCTACAGCATCAGGTTGCAGAGGCGGCGAAGAAGGCCAAGGCAAAAAACTAGGAGGGGTCTCCAGGCGCAGTGAGTGGCGAGTGGCCGCTATGTCATCACCAGCAGCGTCAGCCCCCTCAGCTGGGCCACAGGTGCCACACGCTCAACCAATGGGGTTGGGTCGACCTGAGACACACCTGAGGGAGCAGGACCCTGTGGGGGGAGAGGGTCTACCGAGGAGGGGAACCCGTAACCTGGAAGAGAGGTGGGGGGGGGGACAGGGAAAGTGCTGTGGGGGTGGAGACAGTAGAAGCAAACCGACTCGCCAAAGGTGACGTCCTGACGTCCTGGAAGGAGAGGACGCGGCGCGTGGCAGGGTGGTAAAACTGCCAGGGTGGGGCATCTTTGGGAAAGCCATGAAAGGTGCAGCAGAGAGTGCGAAGAGAGAGCTAGCCCACGGTAGAATTGCGGACAAGGGCAAGTGAACCCCAGACCCGAAACGCCAACGCATCGTCAACCTACCCCGTCCAACGCAGTGTACGCGAGGTCTCTGGCAAAGAGACACAGGGCCAAAGGTGGAGCTGATGCGTAGCGTATCAGACTGCAAACAGCCATAGAAAATTGGAGTAGCCGCATGGATCATGAAGCTGCGAGAAACCTTCATGATAAGCCAATGTAGCACTCAGCGATCCCATTCTGATGTGGAGAAGCCGGATACGTGAACCACTTTGTGATGTCCTCCTCACAACAAAAGTTCTCAAGGAGACCCGAGAAAAACTCACCTCCACGGTCAGAGTGCAGACGGAGCACCAGGAGGTCTTGATGGAACCGTACGCTCAGCTGGCGGCAAACAGCGCAGATACAAGGGATCAAAGCAACACGGTCGTCTCCTTTGTGCTGCAAGGGAAACACCCTGGTTTAGCGCATGTAGTCGTCGGCCACCGTCACTGTTATCCCTGTCTGCACTCTCCCACCCATTGGCGCTCCCTCTTCCCGCCGCCACAGCCGCCACTCCGGCCTGTGCTGCTCACAACGACACCGCTGTCTCCACCAGGCCCTATGTTATCAGGATAAATTATCCTGAATGTCCTGAATTCAGGATAGGTGTTGTGGGTCTGTCCTGAAAAAACAGCATTACGGAAATACTTGTCCTGTAAAATCAGTATAGTGGTTATTTAGCGTACTGATAATTCAGAATATTGGTGTAGGTTCAGCCCTGATGATTAAGGATAGTAATGAATCTTGCACTGAAAGCGAGATGTCTACTGCGGAAGTAAAAACTGGGGCCGAGTGTTCTGTACCCAACCTCCAACATCAGCTTCGCGCAGGGAACAACGGCTAGGAGCCAGCGGGAATCGAGCTGGCGACCTCTTATATGCCAGGATGACGCCACGGCTGTGTGTGGAAGATGGGCAAGAGGTATGAGGTGAGTACGCTGCAAGGAGAGAGTGAGTGAGGGCAATGCAGTGCAAGGAGAGAGTGGGTGGGCGCAATGCAGCGCATGACTAGAGCGCATGATGCAAAGCAAGCGGCAGAAGTGGCGCCGTGAGGGTGAGAGCAATGCGCAGCGTGGAGAAGAGGTGAGGTGCACGTGAGGAAGATGCAGATGAAGCACGGCTGCATTCTCGTCCAGGGTTGCCACGGGACTTATGCCACGGGACTTATGCCACGGGACTTATGCCACGGGACTTATGCCACGGGACTTATGCCACGGGACTTATGCCACGGGACTTATGCCACGGGTCTTATGCCACGGGACTTATGCCACGGGACTTATGCCAGCGCAGGAGATTCAAGACGAGAGGTGAGCAGAGCGTGAGGGCAATGCGCCCCGCCAGCACATCCTCTTGAATCAAAACAAAGAAAGAGGTGAGCAAGTGAGGTGAGCAAGTGGGTTGAGCAAGTGGGGTGAGCAAGTGAGGTGAGCAAGTGAGGTGAGCAAGTGGGGTGAGCAAGTGGGGTGAGCAAGTGGGGTGAGCAAGTACGCTCACCCCCCTGCCACCCCGCACGCATCCCGCTGCCCCTAAACCTTCCCCATGCCTTTACCTCCCATCACAACCTTCACCCCCCACCCCCCTCACCTGCCCCTGCTCCCACTGTGCACCGCCTGTGCCCCGCTGCTCTCCCCACTGCCGCTTCCCTTCTCCATGCATTTGTGCACCATCATCTTCCCCCACTCGCTCCCCACTCCCCTCTTCCCTCACCTGGCTCGGGCACCTCCTCTATGTCCCATCACACACTTGCCCCTCTCGCCCCCAGGCACTCCCCTTCTCTCCCTGCCTGTCCCAGGCAACACTTCCACCTTGTGCACGACCCTCTTACACCTCCTTTCACCTCCCATCACACCCCGCACCTTCCTCCCCTTACCTTCCCCAGGCACCTCCTCCATGTTAGGCGCCAGCACCACGCACTTGGCCCTCCCACTGCGCACCACAGCACCACGCACTTGGCCCTCCCACTGCGCACCACAGCACCACGCACTTGGCCCTCCCACTGCGCACCACAGCACCACGCACTTGGCCCTCCCACTGCGCGCCACAGCACCACGCACTTGGCCCTCCCACTGCGCGCCACAGCACCACGCACTTGGCCCTCCCACTGCGCGCCACAGCACCACGCACTTGGCCCTCCCACTGCGCACCACAGCACTGTCATCGCATGACAACCCCCACCCTCTCCTCACCTGCCCAGGCACCTCCTCCACCTTGGAAGCATCACCTGCCGCACCTCCTTCAACCCTGCTAGCACACGCCGCATCATCGCTCCCTGCATGTGAGGAGGTTAAGAGGGAGGGGGGCGGGGAAAGGGAGAGGGGAAATCTCGTTGCCTTCTTCAGCACTGCCTGCCAGCCCCACCCCCTTCAGCCCTGGTACCATGCAGCACCGCATTGCACCCTGCGCGTGGGGAGGTTAAGTGGGATGGGGGTGGGGGGTGGGAAGCGGAATCACATTCAGGCCCACACAGCCTGCCCCACCGCCTTCAGCCCTACTACCGCGCAGCACCGCATTGCACCTTGCGCGTGGGGGAAAAGGGAGCGGGAAGGGCCTCTCCTTGAGCATCAGCCCCACGGGGGTGGTGGGCCAGCATTGTGTGTCCCAGCGGCTTCATATCCACATACTGGGCGTAATTGTGGGGAAGCGGGGGGGGGGTGGGGGGAGAGAGTGGATAATGGAGGGGAGGAGGGCGGAGGGAGGTTGGTTCAGTAGTTTGTCCACAACCAGCGCATTCAGCACGGGGGTTACATGACCAGCTGCTGGGCATACCTGGACAGGAGGAGCTAGAGGCAGGTGGGTGGCTGAGCGGAAGGAGAGGGGGGTGTGAGGGAGGACGCGGGTACAGTGACGGGCGCGGGGCAGGTGTCGGTTCAGGGAAGGGTTGTGAGAAACATGAGAGTGTAAAGGCAGGTCTTGAGGGGCCTCAGAAGCTGTCTCAGGTGAAGGCTTGAAGCAGGGCGGTGAGGAACAAGCGACTGCCGAGGCACAACGCCACATCTCATTAGAGGTGTTTGGCGATTAGCGGTCCAAAGCCTCACTTGCTACTTGCCTTTATTTTGCAGAGTGTGCTTTTAAGCATTCTAAAACCTCCTCGCCTCACCTGCTGCATGCCTCACCTGCTGCATGCCTCACCTGCTGCATGCCTCACCTGCTGCATGCCTCACCTGCTGCATGCCTCACCTGCTGCATGCCTCACCTGCTGCATGCCTCACCTGCTGCATGCCTCACCTGCTGCATGCCTCACGTGCTGCATGCCTCACCTTCTGCATGCCTCACCTGCTGCATGCCTCACGTGCTGCATGCCTCACCTGGTGCATGCCTCACGTGTTGCATGCCTCAACACCAATGCATGTTAGTGGCTGAGTTTGCCGTTTCACCATGCCACGCTTCCTCCTTGCCCTCTATTCTCCCCTCCCTTCGCCTCCCCTCCATCCACCTCTCCTCCCCTCTCCTCCCATCCCTTCTTCTCCCCTGCTTGCCCTTTCTTTCATCCCTTCTCTCCTCGCTTTCTCCTCCCTCGCACACGCCCTCGCCCTCGCTTCCACACGATTCCGATCCGTCTGCCTCCCATGCATCGCCCCCTCGTCCACTCTCTGCTCCTTCTCCCTTGCCTCTCCCCTCCACTCCGCTCCCACCTCTCCTGTCACCCTTCTCTCCTCCCTGCCCTCCACCCCGCACACCCCTCATCCCACACTCTCCTGATCCCACACTACCCTCTCCCACCTCTGAGCCCTGCCTCGTTTCTCTCATCCCAACCACTATCCCAGCACACCCCCTCTCATGTTCCAACCATCCCGTGCCTCCCACCATCCCCATGCACCACACCCCCCTCTTCCACTTCTTCCTCCTCCTCTTCCCCCCCCATCTCCCTCTCCCTCCCCCTCTCCATCTCCCTCCGCCTCTCCTTCTCCCTCCCCCCATCCTCACCCAACCCCTCCTCTTCCATTACGTCCTCTTCTGCTCCCTCCCCCTCCCACTTCCCCTCCCACTCCCCCTCCCCCTCCCCATTCTTCCTCGTCTCCCCCCTCCTGCCCTCCCCCCGCGCCTGTCTCGCCACCACCACCATGCGCTTCAGTCGCCTCACTCGCTTCTGCTTCGCTGTCTGCTTCTTCCCCTGCCTCACGCCAATGCTCTCTGAAGTTGTTGGGTTCACCAGCACCCGCACTTCCCCTGCGCCCCCCTCGTGCACTCGTGCACTCGCGGCCAGAATTCTGCCCTCCCTGAAGGCACCGTCCTCGGTGCCAATGAGGCAAGATAGACTCCAATGGCACGAGGAGCATGGCTGAGGTTGGAGAACGGCTCCCATGAATCTTCAGATGCTGAGGTGTTGCGCCAGTGAATGAGGTATTCACGGCCAACCAAAGTGTCATGGTGTGAGAGGATGGTGTCAACCTCATGCAGGTCCGGATGGGCAGAGAACATGGGTGGGCGGGGCTGGAATGGGTAAGAGGGAGTACGGTAAGGTCGAAGAAGGTGAACATGGAAAACAGGGTGTATGGTTATGTGAGGAGGAAGTTGAAGGCGATAGCTGACCGGTGAGAGAACCTTGGTGATGGGGAATGGTCCAACGAATCTGGGTGCGAGCTTGCGAGAAGTTCCAGCATTCAGCAGGGGCAGGTTAGCCGTTGAAAGCAGCACCAAATCACCAACTCTGAAAGTGGTGTGACGCCTATGCTGGTTGGCATAGCGAACTTGGCGCTCTTGTGCAAGCTGAAGCTTCCTTCGGGCAAGTTGGAGAATGCGGTGATGAGAAGAGATGAAATCTGCTGCTGTGGGGTTAGGGGAATGAAGAGGGTGAGGGAGGGATGTGACTGAGCGTGGTAGCTGTCCAGTAGCTAAAAGAAATGGTGGCTCTCCCGTGGCAATGTTGGGGCTGCTGTTGTAGGCAAACTCCACTGCTGCCAAGTGCTGATCCCAGTCAGTTTGCATAGAATTCACACACGAGCGTAGCACATCCTCCAAGGTTCTGTTCATGCAAAACCAAAGGGCAACACTCGAAACTCATAGTGACCGTACCGTGTTCGGAATGCTGTTTTTGGGATGTCCTCACTCTGAATCCGCACCAGAAGATACCCCAAACGCAGATCCAACTTCGAGAAGTACCGTGCCTCACCAACTTGCTCAAACAGTTCATCTATCTGTGGCAGTGGGTAATCTACACACATCCGCAGAGAACCGTCCTTTTTCCGCACGAACAGCACCGGAGAAGCATACGGAGAAGAACTAGGCTGAATGAACTCCTTAGCTAACAGGTCCTCTAACTGCTTCTTCAGCTCCTTCAGCTCCACTGCACTCATCTTGTAGGTCGGTCTAACCGGTGGGGTAGATCCAGGAATCAACTCTATCCTGTGATCTGCAGCTCGCTTAGGAGGAAGTCCAGCCGGTAAGTCCTCGGGAAACACCCCTGAAAATTTTTCCAGCAGCTTCTCTACACCCCGTGTTAACTCCTCATCCTCATGTGATGCTGAAACCGTTGGTGTTACTGCGTCAGGTGATGTAGGCTGGACCTCTGTGATGAGACCTAGAAAAACTGCTTCCTCCCCCCGAATGGCCTTACCAAACTGCTTCGCACTAATCAGCTGCAAGGTCATCCCCTCTTGCTGCTGCACCACTGGTAGGCGAACAAACCTCTCCCCAAACAGCATCTTCACCTCCCTGGTTCTCCAATCCACCTGAGGGTTCACTGCTGCCAACCAGTTCCTGCCCAAGATGATGTCATGACCGTCAAGCCAGATCTGTTGGTAAGGGATTTTTCCATGAAACTCCCCTATGTTGCAGTTGACCGGGTACAACTCGGGTCCACAACTCCTCACTACACCATCCGCCATGCGCACCGTACTCTCCACTGTACTGCTCTGCACATGTAACTTCAATTCATGCACCAGCAGAGAAGAAATGAAATTGGATGAAGCACCACTATCCAGCAACATCTGTACCTCCTTACCACGAATCTGCCCCCGAAGTACTATGGCTCCTTCCGACTCCTGCTGCGGCGGCGTTGAGGATGGAGTCAGCAAGGTGGGGCCCTCCTCACCACCAGCAACTCGCCCCGAAGCTACTGGTGAGGCTTGTTTCCCAGCTGCCTAAACTTGGTAGGGCAGTTGAGCGCTTTGTGACCACGTTTCCCACACTTGAAGCAATTTACAGCAAAGCCCTTCCGCTTCTCCTTGTTCTTGTCAATCGTATCCAGCTCCATTGGTGTCGGTCCTGCACCACCACGCTGCTCCCCATGGAAAGGCTGGAACATGTTCGGACTGAACCGCATCCCACGGTCAAAACGGTTGCGACGGTTACCGAAGTGAATCTCATCGTATCGTTCAGCGACACGCGCCATCTCCTCAAGCGAACTACAGCCCTGCACCTCTACCTCCATCCTTACGTCGTCTTTCAACCCGCGCTTAAACTTGTATAGCGCTTCAGCCGTTGAAAGATCTGAAATTTCGGTGGAGATATCACGAAATTCAGCGATGTAATCTGCTACAGAAGTATGCTGCCGCATATTTGCAAGTCGGTCACGCGCCCTTGCCATCGCGTTGATAGGTTCGTATGACGCAACGAGAGCTTCCTTGAATTGCTGCCAGGTTTGGATAGCAGGTCGCACTGATTGCCACCATGCAACCGCAGAGCCTCGGAGTAGGGTTCCAGCAAACGGCGCCCACTCCTCACCAGCCACATGGCTCAAGCGTAGATATTCTTCCACTAGGAAGAGCCATCGTCGAACCACCGGTTGTCCTTTCCCTGGAACAAAGGTGTTCGGCATTGATGCTCTCACATGGGAAAGAGATCCCACTACGCTTCCCGGAGCTGTAGCTACGCTTTGCTGTGCAGCTGCGTTCTGCAGGGCAGCCTGTACCTCCTTTTCTACGAGCTCTCGAACCGCAGCATCACGCTCTGAATCGGCCATGGTGCAAAAATCTCCCGGCAGCAACTCACGAGGAAAAAACAGGCTCTGAGACCAAGTGGAACAAGCTCACGGCACTTGAGCTTGTTCAAGTTGTTTCTGGCTGAGAATTCTTCCCAAGAGAATTTCCTTAGAAGCAAGGAAGAACAAACAGAAAGAGAAACAGCAACTACTCTGTAATTCCTACGAATGCATTTTTATATGTACAGTACATTTACAATTCAGACATGCGGCTCGGAATGTCGATTCGGGTGGCCAGCCCCAACATCGAGCCGCATTCCATATTTCTACTCACATTTGTACACCTCACTGCACCCACACACGTGTTACATTTCTATTCCTCCAAGTCTGGACTTTCGCCACCTGTCCCACGCGGAAGTCCCCCCAAGTCAGTCAAGGCACGAAACCTCAGTTTCGCCCTTCTTACGTGGGTCCCCCACTTCCTGCTCACTTCCGCCCCTTTGCTGCCCACGTTCGCAGTTGCACGCTGCTGCTGCATGCTTTCGCCTCCCGTGCGCTTCACGCTGCCCCCAGTGCAGACCCCACTTGTTACACATGCGCAGCGGGAATGGCAGTGGGGGCGGCGACGGAGACGGTGGAGTGAATGTGATCCAAGACGACCGGCATGGGCTTCTATTTTGCGGCTGCCGCCGCCGGGAGACCCGCCTGCTTGCGCGTGCTCGCCTCACCCGTCATTTAGTACAACGAACAACGAACTGTTATGAGTGCAAGGCTTTTAGTACAACTACATAACTGAATACCTATGAGTGTCTAAAACGAGCTAAAAATAGGCAAAGTCGAGCTAGGCGAGGACCTCGGGAGCGAGGCTCGGAGTGTGGCGAAAGGTCCGGAAGCGACTCAAAAGTGGTTCGGCACCAAAAACTAGGCCAAACCAGTTGAAACGAAACCTTCGGAACATACAAGCAAAGTAATCTACAAGAAGAAGTTATCATTTCATATACCAGCTTTACTTATTGAACCAAGTTGCTGGTACTATTTTAAATTAACCACGAGTTATTCTGCAATTTTTACGAGTTCGCTTGCCAAGTCCAACCATCGTACGAAATTGCTGCGATCAAGAGTTGATCGACCCTAGGATCACCTCGGGAAGGTTCGCACACAGCTGATTGGTAGTGGTGGGCCCTTGACCTCAATTAGGGCCCAAAATTGGTTTAGGCCTACCCTTACAAATCAGGGTTCCAGCCCCTCCTTAACCAGATCCCTAGAGTAAAAATTTCCGTACCCTGTTTGCAGCAGGGTAAATCAACCTCTAGCCTGATTTGAGCAGGGTGGTTTTTGGCTAATCCTTTTCGGCTACTAGTTTGTGGGCGTGGCGTGTGGGTGGATTCAAGGATGCGTTGGCAGTCCTGTGGGAGAAACAACCAATGAGGCGACATGGCATGTCGCCGACAATGAATCAGGGTTTTATGCCAGCGGTCACAGTTTGTGTGGGTGTAGTACAGTTTGTCACCACTCGGAGTATGGCCTAATCCGCGGTAAAAAGGTTTCGGTATCAGGGTAGTATACCCCCAACCCTGACACCGTCAGGGTAACCATAAATCCTATCAGTGTAAAAAAAATCATGCTCTTTTTGCAAAAGGGTAACTATCGTGGAATCCTGATTTTGGCAGGGTAATCCTGAAAAAGCGGCTGGCCCCCAGGGTAATCAAAGCGTTTTACCCTGATATTTTGGGCCCTGACCTCAAGACAGAGTGAATGTAAAATGTTTGAGATTTTTAGAACATGCAAATACAAGCATATAAATAGTAGTACAAAGGGAATACGAAACGACCTTGCTAGCCATGTACTCTAAGGGGTACATTCCCTTATTCAAATTCAAACCCAACTGTGCAGCGCGTAAAGTTACGAAATTGTTCCCGCCAATTCCTCGTTCCTGCAGCTGCCCAATGCCGTCTGCTCCGACGGTCCAGATCCACTCCAACTGTCTGCGTCGCTTCGAGTCAACTCTGACTCTTCACGTTCGGCCTCGATGCTGTGTGCTCACTTGCTGCGGTTAGAAGTGCACAATCATACTTCACTATTTGTAACACCCCCCTTCACTCCTGGCCGTAGCTCGACTTGACCTGCTTGACTACTCCGCTGAGTTCGTAGTAGTGCTGGTACTGCTGGCGTGGCAATCGCTTTGTCAGGAACTCGGCTGCCATCTCACCTGTTGAGCAGTAAGTCAGGTCCACCTTTCCCTTGTCCACTTCGTCCTTGACGAAGAAATACCGCAGCCAGATGTGCTTGGTGCAGTTGATGAATCCAGGCCTGTTTGCGATGCGGATCGCGCTCAGGTTGTCGCAGTGCAGGCGAAAAGTAGGCGAATCAGGAATTTTTGCCTCCTGTAGGAGTTTCTGCAGGTAGAGGCCTTCCCGAACTGCTGCTGTTGCAGCGATCAACTCAGCTTCGGCCGATGACAGGGCAACCAGCTCTTGTTTCTGCGAGTTCCATGAGTTTTGTCCTGTTGGCTTGAGGGTCCTGGACCGTTGATTGTCAGTGCTAGCTGCGTGATTGGCGTCCACGTAGCCGATGAGGTTGAAGGAAGGAGTTGGCACTGTTGAGTAGCAGAGCCCAATCTTGGGCGTGGAGATGAAGAACTGTAGAACGTGCTGCATATCCATAAGATTTTCAACAATTGGTTTGCAGGAGTACTAAGCCAGTTGGCTCGCGATCTAGGAGAGGTCAGGCCTGCAGGCGACATAGGCGAAAAGCAGGCATCCCAGCTGCTGCTGGTAAGTCTAGAATCCAGCAGGGGATAGGGCTTTGTTGTCGAGTTTGTAGTTTGGTCCGGAGGTGGGGTAAGGAGTGTAGAGCGGCGCAGGTGCAATGTTGAAGCGTTTGCCAAGCTCTTCTGCATACTTAGCCGCTGAGAGGTGAATGGCTTCTGGCACGTAGGAGATATTGAGTCCTAAGGACTGCTTTACTTCGTAGTTGCAGGTAATGTCGACGCGCCCCGCCAGATTCTTTTCGAACTGCTCGAGTAGCTCGTCACTTGACCCTGTGTAGAGCAAATCGTCGATGTAGACGGTGAGCAGAATGTAATCCCCGCGAAAATCGCGGCGGTACATCCTGGGGTCATGGGGCATCTGTTTGAAGATTTGAATGTATGTACTTCCTGGTTTTAGACCCTTGATTAGTCAGTATGGGTAAGCATCGGGACGATGCTTCTTAGGGAGGGGAATTATGTAACAGGACGGGATTCGCCATGCGAGCATGCATGGGAATCTCCGAACGGGAGAGAACTTGTATTGCCTAGCTAGCTCCGAACAACACCATCTGCTAGCCTAGAGGACTCTCCCGTATCCGTGTCAGGAGAAATCATATAGCAGGGCATGGCATCGAGGCGCTATGCCAAGATGCCATGCTAGATGAAGTGGCGACGCGGTTTACCTCCCAAGTCGCCATCCCTTCTTCCTAGCATAAATAATCCTCTCTAGTCTTTCGTGTATCATATCATCTCTTGCTTATCTAATTTCAGAATCTCCTTCTTGATCTCTCTTCTACGCCTCTTGGAGCTAGGCCTCCTCCCTCTCTAACCTAGCTTCTCTGTGAAGAATGAGGAATGAACTAGCAAGCAGGTGGGTACAAGTAGGAAAACCTAGAAATGTTGTACCCCATATTGTCTACCCCACTACAGCCTACACAGACTATAGCATATAAGTTTGACACACCCCCATAGGCAAAGTGGGGGAGAACAAGAGGTCACAAGACCAGTCAAGCAAAGCAAAGCAAGCTCAGGGTGGATCACAACGTCACCACACAGTCCGAGCACAAGAGCAAGGCCACAAGGCCAGTTCACATGCAAGATCATATATAAAGGTAAACAAGCAAGTGCAGGTATAGAAAGATCACAGTACAAGGAAGGTCAAGAAGTGAGCAAGTGAGGCCAAGTAGGCACAAGACCTAGCATCGTACAGAAGCGCTGATGATCACAAGGCGGAAGTGCCTTGGTAAAGATATCAGCAGTGTTGGCCTCAGAGGCCACGTAAGCAAGGCGCAGCTGACCACGCTGCTGCAGCTCACGAGCAAGGAAGTAGCGAAGAGCAATGTGCTTCGCTCTGTGCTCCAGTCTGTGCTCCCAACACAAGGCCAGCATGACCTTGTTGTCTACGTACAGAACTGGAGGAGAACGAGGCGGCTCTCCTAGGTCAGTCAGCAGGTAGGTGAGCCAGCGTAACTCCTGTGCAGCCATAGCCCCTGCGTAGATCTCAGCCTCACAGCTGGAGCCGAGAACAGAAGACGAGCGGGTAGACCGCCACGAAACAGAGCCGGAACCAAGGCTGAAGGTGTAACCCTGTGACGACCGCTGCGTAGCCTGGTCGTCAGCCCAAGAAGCGTCTGCGTGACCTGTGAGGACCACTCGACGTAGCCCTCCAAGCACTAGCCCCATGCCCGACGTACTGCACAAGTAGCGCAACACCCTCTTAGCTGCAGCCATGTGCTCTGGTCGGTGTCTCCCAGGAGCAACATAGCGTGCCAAGATGCTAAGAGGGTATGCTAGGTCAGGTCGTCTGCAGGTCATCAGGTACATGAGGCAGCCAACAAGCTCTGATACCATGTGAAGAATGAGGAATGAACTAGCAAGCAGGTGGGTACAAGTAGGAAAACCTAGAATTCTTGTACCCCATATTGTCTACCCCACTACAGCCTACACAGACTATAGCATATAAGTTTGACATTCTCTCCCTTCCGCTGCAACGTTTTTCTTTCTTCTTCTTAGCTACGGCGCCGCTCTCCTTGCTAGGCCGGCCAGGCCAGCTGCGCCGTGTGCAGCAGCGCCGTAGCCTTGTTTCATTGGTATCAGAGCCAGAGCCTATCTCGAGCAAGATGTTGTGCAAGTACTGCTGCCAGAGCCTTGGCGCCTGCTTGATCCCGTAAAGAGACTTTCGCAGCTGACACACGAGCGAGACTCCTTCGCTGTACGTGTGCGGTTGCTCCACGTAGATTACGACATCTACTAACGCGTACAGAAACGCGTTCTTCACGTCGATTTGGCATAGCGGCAGATTTTTTGCAACTGCGATGGCGAAGACGGCTAACTGGTGTGAATGTTTCGTCGAAGTCGATGCCGTGCATTTGGTCATAGCCGCGCACCACCCAGCACGCTTTGAATCGCTCAATCGTGCCGTCCGCCGCGGTTTTCACGCGGAAGACCCATTTGCCTGAGAGAATCATTGCTCCTTTGATTGCGGCACGGTCGACCAGCACCCAGGTGTCGCGATCTCGAGCGCCTTGATTTCCGCATCCATTGCCTCACGCCATTCTTTGCTATGTGGTCCCGTGAGAGCTTGGCGCGGGTTTTTCGACTCGATGACGCGTGGCACCGTTGAGGTGGCGGTGTGAAGTCCGAGAAGCTGCAGTCTAGAGACGGTGCTGCCATGGTGATGTTGCGGGATGACCTCCCGCACGTCATCGTCGTCACTCTCTGGTTCAGGTGGCGCTCGCAATGCTGCACCTCTACCGCTTCCTCCTGCTCCGCCGATTCCCCCTCCAGAGGAATCATCGTCGTCGTCATCGCTGCTGTGGCCATCGCCCGTTGTAAATTCGCCTCTAGTGTCTTGCTCCGAAATTGCTGCAGCGGCTTCGTCTTCAGGCGTTGCGTACGAAGGCCTGTCATTCGCGTAGACGAGATTCGCATTTGTTCAATTGTCATTGCGAAATTGCTCGAGGAAGAGCCGCTCGTAGAAGATGACGTCATGCGCGTGAGTGGTCTTCTGAATGAGTAAGTCCAGGATGATTCATGCCTTAGCTCGTGGCTGATGCCGAGGTGGATCCTCCAGCGCGTGCGGCTTGCAAACTTCTCGATAGTTGACGTTGGCGGGTGGTATTGCCAAGAATCTAGGAGACCCGGATGCTTTAGACATCCCGAACCTGCAAAGCCAAACCTTGATGGTTATACCAAGGTTGTGCTGGTGCTTCCTGGCTTCTGACGCGCTGCTAGTTCATTACATCACCTGCTACACCATGTTCATTGACTATTCCCAACCCGAACGCAAGTGTTCCCTTTCGGCTCGGCAGGTACCTTTCATCCTGAGCGACCGCTACCTTCTCTCACCTGTGACACCAGTTTCGCACCCGTGAGTCAACTATTCCCACCCCCTTTCATGCTTCCATTCCCCCACACCCCCTCTACGCTTCCATTCCTTCCCCCTTTTACGCTTCCATCCCCCCCCTGCTCCCTTTACGCTTCCATTCCTCCACGCTAATCCTCCATGTACCTCACTACCCCCCGCCCTTTCCCCCACTCCCTCGCGTCCTTTCCCCCTACCCCCCGGCCTTTCCCCCTCTCCCACTCGTCCATTCCCCTACTGCCGCCTATCCATTCCCCCACTCCCCCCCGTCCTTTCCCCCACTCTCCCTCGCCCTTTTCCCCCACAAAGATCCTCCCTTTCCCCGATGCCAATTCTCTCTTTCCCCCATGCACCTCCCTTTCCCTCACTACCACCCGCCCTTTCCCTCACTAACACCCTCCCTTTCCCCCACTCCTACACTCCCTTTCCCCCACTCCCACCATTCCTTTCCCCCACTAACACCCTCCCTTTCCCCCACTCACACCCTCCCTTTCCCCCTCGCTGACCCTCCCTTGCCCCCGCGCCAACCCTCTCCCCCACGCCAACCCTCCCGTCGCATTCGCTTCCCCCTCCCGTCGCCTTCACTTCCTGCTCACTCTCTTCCCCCCTGCTCACTCTCTTCGCCCCACTTTCCCCCGTTCACCCATTTTCCCCCTTCTTGCACTCTTTCCCCCTCTGCTTGCCCCTCATTTCCCAGCTCACTCCCATGCTCACTCTCTCCCCCCATGCTCACTCTCTCCCCCCATGCTCACTCTCTCCCCCCCTGCTCACTCTCTTCTCCCCTGCTCACTCTCTTCCCCCCTGCTCACTCTCTTCCCCCTTGCTCACTCTCTTCCCCCTGTTCACTCTCTTCCCCCCTGCTGACTCTCGTCCCCCTGCTCACTCTCTCCCCCCTGCTCACTCTCTTCCCCCTGCTCACTCTCTTTGCCCCTGCTCATTCTCTTTGCCCCTGCTCACTCTCTTTGCCCCGTTCTCACCCATGTTCTCCCTGCTCGGCCTATTTCCCCCTTTGCTCGCCCCTATATTCCCTTGCTCACTCCCTTGCCCCTTGCTCACCTCTCCCCCTCTGCTCACTCCCTTTCCCCCTGCACTCACCCATCATTCCCCACTGTTTAATCTCTATGCCCCTTCGTTCAACCGTTTTCCACCCCCAAGTCATCTCAGTTCCCCTGTTCACTCCCCTCCTTAGCCCTTCTTTACTTGCTTTCCCCTTTGCTCACCCCCTCACCCTGCTCGCTCTCTTTCCCCCTTTGCTCACCCCTCTGTCTTGTCCACTCCTTGCATACACCGCCCTTTACCTCCACCCCCATCCCTTGCTAATTCTGCCATATCCCCTCTTCACCCCCCGTTCCATCACAGAACCGTGCTTGTACATGTGCCCAGCACCATGGTTCGTGGCCTGACAGTACTGGGTTGAAAAGTAATCACCTCCTACCTCTGTGCATGTGTCTATAGTCCACTCTTGGCAATGTTTGTGGAAATACATTTTGTTCGGGTTGGAGTGGGGGATTGGACGGGGGGAAGTGGGGGATTGGACGGGTGGAAGTAGGGGATTGGACCGGGGGAAGTGGGGGATTGGATGGGGGGGAGTGGGGGATTGGACAGGGGGCAGTGGGGGATTGGACGGGGGGAAGTGGGGGATTGGACGGGGGAAAGTGGGAGATTAGACGGGGGAAAGTGGGGGATTGGACGGGGGAAAGTGTGGGATTGGACGGGGGAAATTGGGGGAAAAGGTGGGTGGGATTGGGGGAATGGACGGGAGGGAATTGGGGAATGGACGAGTGGGAGTGGGGGAATGGACGAGTGGGAGTGCGGGAATGGGCGAGGGGGAGTGGGGGAAAGGACGTGGGGGAGTGGGGTAAAGGACGAGGGGGAGTGGGAGAAAGGGCAGGTGGGAGTTAGGAAAAGGGAGGGTGGGAGTGGGGGAAATGGCGGGTGGTACGGAGGGAAATGGAGGATTAGCGTGAAGGAGAAGGAGGGTAGTCGTGGATGAAAGGGAGAGAGCCAGGGAGCGGCGATGTGAGGGGGATTGAATGCGACGGTGTGAAAGTGGCATACGCGAATGCTAAGGTGCGATTGTGGCATGGCGAACGAAAACGGCGCGATTGTGGTGTGGCGAATGGAACGGCAAGAATAGGGAGGAGCGAGTGTCGAATTCGAAAAGCACCTAAGCAAGCGTGAAATTTGTCAAAATCACATTTGTACTTGCTAGGCTATCCTGGGGTACACCATAGGGGGTACAACCCTAATTAGGCTTAGCACTTGTACCCCCCCTCCTCACTAGTCTCGACATTCATCTCGTAAGATTCTAACATGGTAACATGAGCTAGTCGATCCTTAGGATCGTTTTTTTTTTTGCCCACCGTTTAGTCGATTCGATTTTCACTCAAAGTCGATCCTCAGTTCTATCGATCGCGACTAGGCCGCCCCTTAGAGCTGCCCTGCCTCATGCGATCGCCCCTGCTCTGCCTCGCACGCTAGCCAGCACACTGTCCGCGCACTGCCAGCCCGCATTGCCTGCGCGCTGCCTGCTGCGAACGCGCTGCTTAGCTGCGCGCGAGCTGCCTGCTACCTACGCGCGAGCGCTCTGCCTGCCCGCACGCGCCACTGAGCCCTTGCCCGCGAGTGGCATGCGCCCCTGCCCGCTCGCGCTGCCCGCCAGCAGCTTGCGCCCTGCCTGCGCCCTGCTCGCGTGCACCTCACGCGTACCCTACCTGCGCCCTGCCCGTCCGAGCTGCTACGCGCTGCTTCTGCTGTCACTTACGCTGCTGCTGCTGCTAAGTGCGCTGCTACTACTGCTCCTGCATGCGCTACTCCTAAGCGTTGCTGCTGCTGCACGCGCTGCTACAGCTGCGCTCTGCCCTCAGAGGCCCCTACCCGCCAGCTGCTGCTGCTGCCGCGCTGCCTGGCCGCTCGCCCTGCACGCGGCACCGAGTGAGCTGCTGTTGCTACGAACTGCTGATGCTGCTGCTAAACGTGCTGCTGCAACTGCTACGTGCTGCCTGCACGCACCCAGCCCGCGCACTGTTGCTGCTGCTGCTGTGCGCCTTCTCCCAAGTTCTGCTGCTGCTACTACTTGCTGCAGCTGCTGCTCCTTGCTGCTGCTGCTGCTACCTGCTGCAGCTGCTGCTCCTTGCTGCGGCTGCCACTTACTGCAGCTGCTGCTCCTTGCTGCTGCAGCCACTTGCTGCAGCGGCTTTTACTTGCTGCAGCTGTCACTCCTTGCTGCCGCTGGTTTTGCTGCTACTGCCGAGCCGCACCGCTCTGTTGAACCGCGCCGTCCTGCCTCAGCAGCACTACCCTACTGCTCCTACTGCTGAGTCTGCTGCTACTACTGCCTTTGCTGCTGCAGCTCCTACTGCTACTACTGCTGCTACTGCAACTATGGCTAACTTCTCTGTTCTTAGTTTTGACGCTGAGGGTCGCGCGATTAGCTTTGATGTTTGGCTTGATGATCTCCAACTGTAGTTGCAGAGTGAGGCTAGGGACGGAATTTCACTGTTCGTGCATACCGAAGGAACCCTCCCAACCCCAGCTGCTACAGCGGTAGAGGATCATTCGAAGTGGCTCATGCTACCCTCCCCTCTATAACGCTGTAATAACTCGCTACTCCTCCCCAGCTACTGCTGCCCTAGGCCGTCTGATGCTGCCGTACCTGCATCCCGAGCCAGCCGACTTCCACACTGTCTATGACCTCTTTACCCACCTCCGCTCTAGTGAGGCTAGCTACCGCGCCGCTCTCAAGCCGGCCTTCCTTGCTGCAAACCCCCCCCCGCTGTATATGACACTGTACTTCCTCGTCACTCGCCTCCCTGACTCCCTTCGCACTGTCAGGGACCAGTTCCTAGCCCTTGACCCCACTAAGATCACGCTTGACTCACTCGAGAAGTCCCTTCTCAAGGCCGAGAAGAGCACTGTCGCTGTCGCTGCCTCTCGCGGCACTCCCTGCTCCCCCTTCTTTGAAGGGTGTACTCCCTCCCCCCTCCTCCCCTCAGTTGCTACTGCTGCTGCTGTCGACCTCCTTGGTGCTGAGGAAGTTGGCAGTGTGTCTGCTCCTGGTGGGAGGCGCAACAACGGCAAGGGCGCAAGGGGGGTGGGGGTGGCTCTAGCGGTGGAGGTGGCGGGGGTGGTGGTGGCGGGGGTGGTGGCGGTGGGGGTGGCTCTGGGGGTGGCGGCAGTGGAGGCGGACGAGGTGGTGGAGGCAGCGGGGGTGGTGGAGGCGGCAGGGGTGGTGGAGGCGGCGGGGGTGGTGGAGGAGGTCGGGGTGGAGCTGGCAAGGGTGGAGGCCGTGGCGGCGGCGGCTCTGGACAGCACCTGCCGTGCCTCCCGGACAACCCCACCCCTCAGCAGCTTCGTGAGTGGGTTGTCCAGCGTGTTTCCCCTGGGGGCTCTGGTCGCTGCCCGAACGTCAGGCGCACTGGGAAGCTGAAGGGTCAGCCCTGCGGGAAGCTGCACACCGAGTACCGCTGCTTCGGCCGTCGAGAGGATGCCTAGGTGGATGAGTACGGGGATGAGGCGATTGTCCCCAACTAGCTGAAACTGCAAGGGATGGGAGTAGATGTGTTTGCTCTTCACTTTGTTCAGATCAACAAGGCTATATATGCTATGTATGTGACTGAGCTTAGTGATGAGGGTGCTGGTGTTGAAGCTGCTACTCTAGGTGCTAGTGAGTCTACAGTCACAGGTGCTAGTGAGTCTGCTTCTAGTGAGTCTGCTGCCTCCGCTGAGGCCCTTCACACTTTCACACTTGACTTAGGCGCGTCTCGTTGTTTCTTTCGTGACTGCACCACACTCACACCACTAGCTGCACCGGTACGAGTCTCACTGGCTGACCCCACTGGGGGCCCAGTAGTCGCACGAGCCTCCACTGTCCTTCCGTGTCCAGCAGTCCCCTCCGGTTCTCTGTCAGGTCTCCACCTTCCCACGTTCTCGACAAAATTGGTGAGCAACGCCGCTCTTCAGGATGTATGGGTTGACACATTTACTCCAGGAGGGCAGCGTGTGGCGATCTGTACGTGCTCCCGGACTGGCCGTCACAAGGAGACAGGAGTGCATGCTGCGGAGACGCGGCAGTGAGGGGTGACCGAGGCGGTGGTGCCAGAGGAGAGTCTGGTGGGAGAGTACCCGACACGAGCAAGACGCTGCAAGCTGACCAGACGCAGACACCTGACTCGACGCAGCCACAAGACAGGAGTGGGACAGGAGTGCATGCCTCGGTCACCCCTCACTGCCGCGTCTCCCCAGCATGCACTCCTGTCTCCCTGCCCTCCCTCCCGCGCTCACCTGCCCCGCCGTGCCTTCCCTGCGTCGAGGGGCGGCAGCGCGCCGTTCCTCACTCTTCCGAGTTTCCTCCGACCACTGCTCCTCTGCAGACTCTCCACATGGACATGTGGGGCCCAGCCCCCGTCAATGGAACGGACCAGGAGCGCTAGTTCCTGCTGGTGGTTGACGACTACACACGCTACACCACTCTCTTCCCCTTGCGACGTAAGGCGGACGTCAGCGGTGTTTTGATCCCCTGGATCCGTGCTACTCGTCACCAGCTGCGCGAGCAGTTTCGGCGGGACTCGCCAGTCCTGCGTCTGCACTCTGACAGGGGCGGTGAGTTCTCTTCTGGTCTCCTTGCGGAGTTCTATCGAGACGAGGGCATCCGCCAGTCGTTCACGCTTCCGGCCTCTCCTTAGCAAAATGGGATTGCTTAGCATCGCATTGGGTTGATTATGGAGGTTGCTCGTACCTCCATGATCCATGCGTCTGCTCCCCATTTTCTGTGGCCGTTTGCAATCCAATACGCCGCGCATCAGCTCAACCTCTGGCCCCTAATCTCTTTGCCAAAGACCTCGCCCACACTCCGTTGGACGGGAGAGGTTGGCGATGCGTTGGTGTTTCGGGTCTGGGGCGTGCTTTCTCTTGTTCGTGATACCACCGCAAGCATGCTCTCCCCTCACACTCTTCGCTGCGTCTTCCTTGGCTTCCCCACCGACGCTCCGCCGTGGCAGCTCTACCACCCGCGCTCACGTCGAGTATTCTCCTCCCAGGACATCACTTTTGACGAGTCTGTCTGTTACTACAGACTTGACCCGCACGCGTCACACCCAGTCCCCCTCGCGCCTCTCTTCCTTGTACCAGTCCCCCCCCAAGTAGACCCCCTCCTCCCACAGGGTCTTGCTCCCTCAGGTGGTTCTCAGGTAGACCCACCCCCCTTGGTTGAGCCTTTGGAGATCTCTTCAGACTCCTCTGGCCCGGCTGGGGGGGGTGACCCGGCCACTGACGACACGGCGGCCACTCGCCGCTCTCCACGCTTGGAGATCCCCCCTGGTTTTCCGCCTCGGCCGTCTTCGCCGCCTCCGCAGCCTGCTGCTGTGGACTCTGGAGATGAGACCTCTGGTGCTGAGCCTGGGGGTGCTGAGACAGAGGGTGAGGGTTCTGGGGGTGATGCGACTGGGGGTGCTGATTCTGGGGGTGCTGCGCTGGGGGTGCTGACTCTGGAGGTGCTGCGAGTCCTAGTGGCGGTGGAGCTGTGGGTGACTCCGTTGGAGGTGCTGGGGGTCCTGCTGTAGGTATTGGAGGTACTGCTGGAGGTACTAGAGATGCTGCTTGTGATGGAGGTACTAGAGCTGCTAGTGCCTGGGGGCACTGGAGGTGCTGCAGGTACTGCTAGTGCCGGAGCTACTAGTCCTGGAGGTGCTCGTACGGGAGGTGCTGGAGCTGCCGGAGCTGGTGGTACTGCTGGTACCGGAGGTGCTGGAGGTGCTGCTAGTGCTGACGGTACTGGAGCTGCTAGTGCTGGAGGTACTACTGGTGCTGGAGCTGCTGGTGCTGGAGGTGCTGCTGGTGCTGGAGGTGCTGGAGCTGCTGGTGCTGGAGGTGCTGGAGGTGCTGGACCTACTGGTGCGCTTCGC